AGGACTGGCAGGTAAAGTTCTGCCCATTTCCTCCTCCTTCCTTATCAACTAGCTCTAGAAAATAATGAAGCACCCTTTCTTTAATACACCATTAGCGGACTACCTCTAGACTATGTCAATAGGGTTCATATTCCAAGGTGAGGGTTTGGTCCAAGTTTGATCTCACCCTGGGTGACTTTCTCTTTCCTAGACTACGGTTATGCTACACTGTCTGTTTCATTATTTCGGTCCTTCCTGTTCTGGTCAATCGACTTTGCTAAATCACAGTTGAATTCTGCCATAAATATTTTAGTGATTGAGTTCTTAAGGAAACAGTGTTCCAAATATGAAGGACTTGTAGCAGGTATCCAAATAAAGACCCATTTTATCCAAATGGCCAGTACCACACCAATTCAGATGAAGTTACATACTGAACAGAAATTTTCTGTCACTGAACAGAAACATTACCTAGTGACAGATATTTCTTATCAATTCTCAGGTAAAGATATTTCTAGAATCCACTCATTGGTTGAATTTGAGAAAAGTTTTCATGAGTCTTTTGCATACAGAGAAAAATAATTAATGGCAATATAGTTTTTCTGGTTTGGGTTTTGGGTTTTTTTTTTTTTTTCATCTTTATTGCAGATAGAGAGCTGAGAATTCTCCTGCAGTAACTTTATTATTTCGCAACAGCATGAATTACGGCTTTCGTGTATTAGAAAGTTACACTGAGGTAGAACATAACTTTGAAGCAATATATATAGGTGATTCTCCTGATAGGACTAACATACAGAGAATGAGACAACTGGACTTAGCTATGGAATAATTGCATGATTGTTGAAAAACTGGTCTTTCCGTGGCCTCCAGTAAATTTGTAGTTGCTCAGAGTGGGATCCTGACTCCTTTAGACTATCCCACCTCAACTCACTGCCCTTCTTCCTTCCCGTGGAATGAAAATATTAATGGTCCCTTTCTTTTGCCTTTATTTTTTTTTCTTTGCCTGTTGGCACTGTGGGATCTTCAGGGAAGGGCCTGTTTTATATTTGAGGTCTGAATAGCTCACATCTCCGAACAGCCCTTGATCTCAGCTACAGCATTTACGTCTGCTGGAATACAGACAATAAAGACCTGACTGTTGAAGCGTGCAGATGAATTGAATCCTCATGGTCTCTACAGGTGACCCTAAGAGGCAGATGAGTCTGGCTAAAGATAGCAGGAAAAAACAGAAAGCAAGTGTAAATGAAAGGAATTTCTGTTTGTTTTGCTGAGAGTCACTCAAACTGTGAGTTGCAGTGCTTTGAAAGTGTGCTGAGATGGAGCAAGGTGCTATTTTTTAAGTGCTGTAGGGCATTCTTCCAATCATTTGAGGAGAAAGCACTGCATATTCTAAAAAATATTGTATCCATTCTTGTAATGCAGGTTCATTAGGCATCAGATTGATTTATTGTATTGTTTCCTTTATAAATTATTTTCATTATGTTTTATCACAGTACATGACTACTGCCCTGGGGGAATATGCAGGAATGAACTGAATGGCAAGCGTAATAGACTGCTTTAATTAAAATAGTGTAATGCATATTTCAGTGCTATTAACAAAAACAAAATTGATTTTGTTTTCTGGGTAATTGAATATATTAAAGCCCAGGTGCTTTGCTTCTATTGTTTAACCCTCTGAGTTCAGCTTCACTTGGTGTTTTACAGCAGGAAATTCATTTATTACCAAGCATTTTAGAGGGAGAATTTTCTTCTCTGCCAGTGACATTTTCTTCTTCCTTCCTCCCCACCACTTCCAGTTTCCTAGTGCATGTGTGTGCCATTACTGAGGATCAGAAAAGCGTAAACATGAATTTCAATAATGAAAAATCCTTGATCCTTTCCAGCGGCGTCAAGTGAGCTCTAGACAGTGGGGACACTGATCCATGGTAAAGGAAAGCCCATTATTCCTGTGAACTTTTTAACCTGATGTTCTGTGGAGACAGCAGTAGTCAGCTACCATAATTCCATTAGTTAATGAACACTCCAGGAATTTGTCCACCATAGGAAAGACCCTTTGAAATTAGTCAGTCAATGACACCTGCTCTGTTAAGTGGCTTCCTTTCTCCTCTTCCTTTTGATTTATGTCAGCTATGAGTCTTTTTTATTTCCTTTAGTCCTCCAGATCTCCAAAGTTTACTTTTTATCAACAAGACGCATTATGCTAGTGACATGACAGACGCACAGGCAAATCAGGTTAATGATTTCTGAGCAGGGCAGCCAAACGAAACCAGCCAACCAACCTCGAAAATGAACAGTGTCAAGAAGCTGGGCTACAGGATCCATCTATCCATGAAAAAAAGCGTTTTAGCTAACAGCTATCATCTGTCATACCCTAAATATGAAAGCTTCCTTCGCTTTTGCCTGTGGAGTTTTCACTGGAAACTAATGTGTATGTGGTATATATGCATATATGGTACAGCGCGGGATGCTTCCGGTTCAACTCTTGTGAGTCCCTGGTTTTTTAATCACTTGCTAGGATGGCATGCTGTATTTCATATAATTGGGTTTTAGGTATGCAGGCCCTGACTGTGCCTTATTCCCACCCTTGCTGTCCTCAGCTGTCCTGCTGATGCAGTCACGTATAGGCATCTGCAGCTGGTAGAAAGAAAAGTGGAAATTTCACATAGCCATGCCTTTTCTAGTCGCCACAGACCCAATTGCAGAAGGGGCCCGGGAAGGGGAGGAAGTTTGCAGGGGTGACCTAACATAATACTACCCGAGGCGTTGTCACTGCTTGTTGCAGACCTAGGCATTGGGATTCAAAACTGAGGAGGAGAACTATCCTCTTTCTCCACAGCACTCATCAAAGCCAGGGCCTGCAGTGTATTCCTTGGAGCAGAAGTGCAGTGGATACAGAAGATCTTATTTTCCAGCTTATTGGGGGAAACACTGTGGTTGTCTAAGTAAATAGTAAAATTCCCATTGACAGCAACGGGAGGTAGTTCACCACTTTATAAAGCCTGCCCTATTTCTCAGGCATGTGCAGCTTGCTAAAAGTGAATGGTTATTGTAAAAAGAAGAAATTGTAATGGTAATTTTAGCTTAGTTTTTTTTTTTTTTAAAGTAAAAAGAGCACTCCAAACTAAGTGGAGCAATATGAAGTATGGCAGTGTCTGTCTGGGATATGTCAAATTTAAGAACAATCAAATGGCTGTACCAAAAAAAAATGTCAGAAATCCAAAATGGGAGAAAAGCCAGGCTGCACAAAAGCTGCTACCTCAAACCCGTCCAGTTACTCTGAGGGCACTCAGACAACACTAATCAATATGGTAGTCTGAAGACATCCTGTATTAATCCTATGCCCCTTAAAATAAAATATGGGTATCTTCTTTTCCCTGTCAAAGATCTTCTGTTCAAACTCATTTACCCAACAAAAACCTTTTAAAAGTGATTGTTCTGCTTTTATAACAGAAGAGGAGGCCATAATTAAACTGGTGAGTCATCAGCCCACTGGGTTTCATAGGAAATCCCTTATTACTTTAAAGCACCTGCTGTAGCTCTTTGACTCATTTCCCATAGAAGAGTCGCAGATACAGATTGATTCCAAATAGTTCCCATAAAAGAATAGATCACTGAACTGGTTTTACATAAATTTCAGTCTTTATAATTGTTTCTATTCCTATGCAATTAATAAGATCTGGATGAATCCCCAGCTACTTCTGGCTTGTGATTTATAAAACACAAGTCTAGATTCAGATTTTGTTGAAACAATTTATCATATTTTGCTGTTATTAGCTTGCTTACTTTTTATAGTGCATCTCTCCATGTTTCTTCTGCTTGGAATTAGTCACCTTTAATCAGTCATAAGATATGTTTAAGGATTAACAGGAATATGCTGAACTCTATTGAAAAGTGCTTAAATGTTGTAGCATGACAGAATGACACGCTGGCTTATTTTTTTATTTGGATAAATGGATATTAACTATTCAACTTCCCAATATTAAATTTAATCAGTACATTTAAAAAAAAAATCTAAAACATACAACTCTGATATCAGCATTTGATAGACAATAAAAATCAGCATTAGATAAACAATAATTACTGTTTGCTCATTCGCTGTATAAGATTTTTAGAGAAAAAGATTTGTAAGGACCAAGAGAAACCAAAGCAACTCATTTAAAATTGGTCAACAGTTTACATCAGAAAAAAATGGTGTATTTTGAGTTATGCTCACATATTCAAAATATGTCACCAGTTTTAAAAACCATTTCAGTGCTACTTAAAACAAAACCAATAGTGGTTAAATAATCCTTAACAAGTTACAATATTTTAAATAGTTTCAGCAAGCTGGTCAGGGAGATAAACTTTTGGACTTCTTTTTAAGCAACCCGTATTTGAAAAACACAAAAGATAATTCATTTTGTTCAGAAACACACTCAAACCTTTGTGGTCAAATCCTCAGCTAAGGTAGAGAACATTTCTGTTGAAGTCAGTCTATCTTCCCTTTCTTTTCTGATCAACCCAACTTTCTTTTCTGATCAGCCCAACCCTTGTGTAGTTAATGAGAAAAAAAAAAAAAGCCCTCAGATGTGTCTCTCTGGTGTGTTCTATGAACAATTGATACAAGGAAAAAAAATGAAGCGAGTATACTAAGCATATTTTTTAGAAGGCTCACAACTTTTACCACCACTGAAACGGAATTAAATTTGCTCAGAAGAAGTAGCCAACCATTAAGAATATATTTCACCAGAAATGGACTTGAGTCACAAAACTGTCTAGACCCTAGATTTACTCTAGACTTGTTTGTTTAAAATGTTATGCACTTATCATTTTTCTTTTGTTTGTATCTCTTAGGCGTCCATCTTCCAAAACGTTCTTTTGCTAAGTCCACGCAGACTAACCTCGCTGAAGGCATGTAGCCCCAAAGGAAGGATTCAAACAGTGGCCAATACGCAATGTATACTATGAGGTATGTGTTGAAATCTTTGCAGCCTCCTTAGATGGTAAACTCACCTGGATTCAGATAACTTCTTTTTTTAACTTACATTTTCATAGACTGGGCAGTGCCCAGCACAACAGGCACCAGCCGTCTTGGAATCTTTAACTGTTATCACGGTATGTTATGTTTTCACTGTAAAGACCTGTAATCAAGAATTAATAATGTGACCATTCAAGTTTCCTTTACTAGATGAGACATGATATTTTCTACTATTCTGTGCCACTACTGAACATGTACAGATTGGCCTGCCTTTCTTTCTGTCCTTCAGAAACCAGCCAGCCTTGCTTCTCTGAAGGCAAAAGGAAATGGCAAACAGAAACTATTTACTGCTCTCAGAGAAGCTACTAATGTAACTTAATTTTCCATAAATAGTGTCTGCATCATCTGAGTTCAGCTATTTCTGTCTGCTAATAAGCTACACATACTGGCTCATTCGTATATAGCTTCTCTGAAGTCAAATCTGTTCCATCTAACTACGATTTTGAAAGTTTGCTTTTAAGAAACAATTCTGGCTCTGAACCAAGACAGGAAGTGATCTTGCATTATATTCAAGTGTAACTTCTGTGAAAGCCAAGGAGATTTTTGTGTATTGAATGCACAAAGAACTGAAAAACAATCGTAACAAACCATCTTTCAGAGAACAAAATGGAAAATTCTGATTTGTATTATCCTTTCCAGTCAGTCAAGGTTAAAAAACCCTTGCCTCCCTCCACCCTCTCTTTTATAAAGAAACTAAATTCCAGTCATCTTTATACCAGTACGGATTAAGACCTCACTGAAATTAGGGTATCAGAATCAAAGTTAGCTTTACCCGTTATATTTGCAATCCAGAGAATTTCTGGTCCTCAGTGGAACGGTCCTTATGAAGGAAATTTTCAGGAAATGAAGGAAATTTGCAGGAATTTACAGCTAGAGCCTACAACCTTATAGTACACTTTACTAGTAAGCTTGACTCCAAATATTAGAATATGAGTCTAGAAAAAACTTTGAGGGATTATCTAGTTCATCTCTAGGCTAAAGTCAGGATCAACTCTAACAGTGTTATTTCTGACATATTTGCCTAACATCTTCTTAGAGTATTCCAGTGATGGTGGTCTCAAAACCTTTTTAGCCTACTCCTACGACTAAATATCCTTTCAGACGAAACATTTTCCCCCAGACTAGCCTGCATCTGCTATGCTGTAGTTTGCCCTAGTACCTTTTCTTCCCATTCCCAGAATAGAGAATAACGTGTTAACTTCTCCACTCAAGCAAAGTGCTATGTACGTGAACTGTTATGACTGTCTCTTGCTTTAGACCAGCCCAAAACCTTCAGGCTTTCATTCAGTCATGGTTTTGCTTTGCTTTGAAATTTTTCTAGTGACTTCACATTTTTCTCTTAATCCTTCCACAAGGAAGATGCTTTCTGCCCAGAAATCAGGATCGGTCCAAAAATGCTACAAGATAGAGCTTTTGTCATGACACCTTTACAAATATCCATCTGATGTCTGAAAATATTTTAAAACAAAAGATATGAATAAAGATTAAAAGTAATAGGAAATAAAATCCTTTATCCCCTTCTCCCTCAAACAATTCAAAGTACATTCATTTGTAATTTGGGGTGAAAAGTCATTCTGATCATCTCTGAATCCCTTTATCCCTGCTTTTATGTTTTCCATTATTGCTGTGAGACTTTTACCCCTATTTCAGGGCTTTTTGTCACATAAAAAAGCCTGTAGCAGTGTAAAGCAGTGTAAAACAGGCCTAAAGGCCCAGGTAAAACCAGGGCCCAAAAGCACTTTGTGAAAAGAAAATGGGAGACAGCCATATGACGCGGGGTCTTGTATCCATGCCAGGAACTGTGAGAGATTCAGGACATCTTTCTGAATTGTCATAATGATGATGTGACAAATACTCCCCTGAAGACCAGAAGCAGTCAGGAAAGAAAGGATATTTAAATCAGTCCACTCTTCATTATCTTGGCTATTAGACCTTTCATTGCTTTGAAGAAGCAGCCTAAAAATTCAGCTGAAATATTCTAATATGTAGGGCAAAATAGGGAAAAAAATTAAATGATCCAACCTTAAGAGTGTGAATCGTAAGACTGATTCCTAATCCAATCTAGAATTTCATATGGAAATACAACACTAATTTAGCTAGTATTTAGCTGATTAAACTATACTCTTAGTAGCCTAAGGTACAGGAAAAAAAAAAAAGAAAGATTCCTTGGTTCATACATTTCTAATAATGTTATCTCTTTTATCTGATGCTGTTCACACAATAAGCAAATTGAACTCTTTAATAAAAAAGAAAATAAATTAGTTATCCTAACATAGTTTCTAAAAGAAGCATATTTTATTTGACTTTAGTACGTTATATATACTTTTTGTAGTGTGTTAGAACAAAGAAACTACTCCACAACTGAAGAAAAAGCAGCAGATATTTAAAAATGGAAAGGTATGTCTTAGAAATGTATTATCTTGAGGTTTAGGAAATGGATTCAATTTAAATGAAATGACAGAAAGCAAATCCATCAACATATCTGCGCTCTAGTGCTTCTCTGAGTCATGAAACTCCCAAGCTATAAAGAAAAGTTACAAATGAGACACAAAGAAGGGAAAAAAATCAAACGATTCTTCAGAGACGCAAATTCAAATTTTACTTTTTGATAAAATATGATTCATTGCAAGCAAATTACTACCCATCATAATAAATCATGATTAGCTATATTGTAGCCAGTCATAGGGAAGGAGCTCAGGGAAGGAGAATTCGGTTGTGCTTCAGATTACACCCACTTCTTTTGCATTTAATGTACAAATACGTGAAAACAATTACACACTAATAAGTTATAAAATGTTAAATTGAACCCAATAATACATAATCCAAGATAAGACACCAGACATACGAAGGATTTTGATGAACTGGTAAGTACCTCTAGCTATAGCTAATGCCTATTTATCTGTGAGTCTAGCATGACGTGATGCAATTCCTAAGAGCACTTGCTTTGTTATATCAGTTTTCTGGGACTGACCTCCAGTAGATTAACATGGCTTCACTCTAAACAGAGTTGAAGGCATGTGAAGAGAGGCTGTATATACGAATTATAGAAAAAGAATATATTGTACAAGTAGTAAATGCAATAGATGATATGCCTTAAAAGTGTATACTTTGGCAGAGCTGGAACACGCAGAGCTTAAGGCTTTTATTTTGGACCATACTATTATAGAAAGATTTCATCTGAAGTTAACCAGTTTTGCCTTAATTCACCTGCAGTAATGGGCGAGCTTGGCAGAAGTCATTGGAAGACAAAAGTCGTAGTCCTTGACTATCTCACGCACATTCAACAACAGACCCTTCTTACTGGGAAAAAGCACAATGGAGATGACTTTCCGGGACTGTGACCCTCTTGCTGATTCCAACTGAAAACCGTTTCATAGCGGTACAAGTAAACAACATTTCCTGTTTCTGTCTTTCTCATATCTTTCTGTGACTCCTAGCTGTACATTTTTCTCATGTTTATGTACCAGATTCTTAAAAACATATATACATCATGTAAAACATAGACTTCATAGAAATGACACTAAACCAGAGGGAGTCTCTTTCTAACTTTATTTTCCTTCACTAATGTCTTTGGATGCTCATGGCTAGCTGCTTGCCTATAGAGTATTCTCTAGCAGTCATTTAATTACATCTCTTGCAAAGTCTTTGGTGCACACATGTAAGCGCTTCATGTTTATAGGATTGTACTGGGTTAAAAAAAAAAAAGTACTGCCTATCAGAGGTAGGACAGAGAAACTTTGTAAGAAGCCTCTGTCTTTGAGGAAAAGTATTAACAGATCAACATAGACAGATTTCATATTCCTCAATGTATTTGCAAAATACATTGCCTGGATTAGGATCTGACATATTCATTTTTTAGATAATGTTCTTGTAAGGGACATGTGGTTGCATATACTAAAATTTCTACATTACCTGCAAAGGTTAGATATACGTGCTAGACATTCTTATCTTCCATCCAAATAAGTAAGGGCTCTGGAAAGGGAGGGAGGCTGAGGGAGAAGGGATAGTTTTCTGCCCTAACCTGAGGGCATTCTGTTAAGATTTCCCCAGTGCTCTCATAAATAAGCAAACTGCTAGCATGATCACACCTGTGTTACAAAAAGCAAGAAGCAAAAACACAGGGAAGGGCAAAGTGTGCGTCCCATAACAGCCAAGCAGCTAGCAGATTTGGGCGGCAAACAGCAATTGTAGAGACGTGGAGTAAGGCATCTACCTGGAAAATAAAATCCAGTTCATTATAACTTCTCCATCCTCTTTACAAAAGAGGGAGACAACAGAGCTGCATTGGCAAAGGACACTTCAGAGCAGAAACCGCTGTCATCTCTCTGTATGTCCTCGTGCCTGCCGCTCCCCAGAGAACATACAGCTTGCATTCATTTCTCAGAAATATCTTTGCCAGCTTTTCCAGAAAGATTTCTCCTCTGCCTCTATTCCATCTACTCATATGGCAGATATGCATGGTCTTTTAAACTATAATGATTTCCCATGTGTATTTTGCAAGGGAAATGTCAAATCTGTTTTTTTTCATACATGTTTCAACCAATAGCTACTATAAAACTAATAGACTATCACCAGCACAATATAGATTAATAGAATAACTGCTTAGGATATATGAAGGAAAATAGCATCAGGATGGTAAAAAAGCTTCAGAAAAGATTTATAGTTTAGTCAAATCAGCTATGTGCTGCTGAGCCATCTAACAGGTTCTACATCCACCTCAACTATTGAGGTGAACTAGAGAATGAACAAAGCATTAATTTAATAATAAAACATTAATAAGATGTATGACAATATATTATGCTGCTCACATTTTATGAATAGTTAAATAATTAAACAATGATTTAATGTGATAAGCATTTTTCATATTTATATATATATATATATATATATATTTTGAGTAAGACATATCTATTGCATATCTATCACTTTTAACAATTGTATGATCAAGTCCTTTTCAGTAATGCATATATACCATGTTCATCTATTGAAAGTCAATCCCAGAAAACTGATACACATGTTAGTACTTCTTGTGAAACCCCACAAACTGTTTGTATTACTGGAATATAGGCAGTACTGAAGTATAGAA